CTGTCTAAATTGTCCCTAGTATGTGTATGTATGAATGTAAGTTAGGGACCTTAGATTGTACACCCCTTGAGGGTTAGGGAGTGATGTGAATGTACAATATATATGGAAAGCACTGTGTAAATTGATGGCGCTATATAAATACCTGAAATAATAACTAATAATTAAGGTGTTACTAAGCCCAGGACCCCGCATTCACTATATCTGTTCTCCCACAGTACACACTACATGGAAATCCAATTGTTTTAGTAAAATACCTTTTTTCATCAGCAATTAGAGCAGTCTTGTGACTTCTATCAGTGTCCAGCTGAACACTGGTTAAAGCTTGTAGGTGGAGTTCTCATTCTCCTCTCACTGCCCTATGAGATTGCATAACCCTTGACCCTCTGATTGGACAGTGCTGATTGTCCCTGTGCTGATCACATGTACCCACCCAAGAAAAAGAAATCAACTCTCTAGCAGTACACACCAAACTGAGCATGTGCAGAGTGTCCTCGAGGCTCTGCTCTATCAGGAGGTGAAATGGGGAATGTGGAAGAAAGGGAGGATCAGAGAAGACAGGATTAAACATCCTTTTTACACAATGCAGAGGATTTACCCTTTAAGTTCCACAATGAGTATAACAAGCACACTTTACTGCATATACAGACTGATTTTACTGTTGTGGGTTTAGTAACACTTTAATGCAGGCCTATATTGCCTGTATTTAAAACTATAGTAAAAATAGCATTTACAAATATAACAGTAACTAGAGTAAGGTTTAATGGGATATTTGTGCTTAGCCGTCGGACATAATGTTCAAATGTTAGCTTTAAAGTAGCTGTAAACCTCAGACATGAAATATGAACAAAGCATATCCCTCTATACTGTGTACTTGTCTCAATTAAGAGTACTAAGTGTTATTTCTGTGTGCTGCTTCATTCCTCTGCTATCAGCAAGAGTCACTTCTGACAAGTTTTCCTGACACCATGAAAAAAAAGGTGACAGGGGAGGGACCTCCAATGTGCTTTGTGGAGGGGGAGTGTCTCTTCCTTCCAATCAGCTCTCAGAACTTTCCTCACTAAGCTCTGCAGAGGGTAAATTTCACCTCTCCATCCCATTTTTGTTGAACTCTCACACCAGCTGTGTAAATTCAGCACTTTGAATACAAGTAGAGAAGAGAATACTGCAGATAAACAGGTAGAAATTATGTAGGAGGATTTGTTTAACCCCTAGACGCAAAGCATACACAAATATGTGGCCTCTCAGCGTCTGGGTCTTGACACTGAGTGCCCGCATATTTGCGTACCATTTGAAAATACATTTGTGCTGAGAGCAAGCGTCCTGCGCGCCCCCAGCACATATGTCCATGACTCACGGAAAGGTCCCGATCTCCTCTTGCGAACAGGACCTTTTCCAATCATGTGACCACAGTGACAGTGAATCACGGCGGTCTCATGACCATAAAAACCCCGCCCCACCTCTCGGCTTCTGAAACCTCTTAAAGGGCTGGGAGGCTACGGCACAAAGGGGTTAATCTCTGTGTATCACGTGAGATCGGTCACTTCACTGGGTGCAGGGGCGGACTGACCATTTGGAAACTCGGGCAATGCCCGAGGGACTGGGGTCAGTAGGGGGCCCCATGAGATGCCCCTGGTACTGTTTTCATAGGCTTTTTTGAGTTTGGGCAAGAACACAGGGGCCCCATGATTCCCTATTGCCCGGGGGCCCCATGAGTTGTCAGTCCGCCCCTGACTGGGTGTATGTAAGGTTTTATGACCATTTTAAAAGTACACAAAGATTAATGTTGGTCCTCAATTCTTCACTTTATATCTATATAAATATCAATGCTACTCTTACTTATTATGTACATCACGGGTGTCAAACTGGCAGTCCTCCAGCTGTTGACAAACTACAAGTCCCATGAGGCATTGCAAGATTGACAGTTACAAACATGATTCCCAAAGGCAAGGATGGGACTTGTAGTTTTGCAACAGCTGGAGGGCCGCCAGTTTTAACACCCCTGATACATGTACTCTATATGTATACCAATATTAAACCTGATCCTCAAACTCTCAACACAAGAACACACACTGTCCTGCAGTTCTCCATGCTTTAGGGCTTGCTCACACTTGACTCATCTCCTAAACGCCCCCATAGTGTTTGACAGGCATTAGACAGGCATTTGGGAAGCGTTTTTAACGCTCCTCAAATGCTCCCCAAATGGCTCCCCAAATGCCTATGCGTATTTTTGATGCATTTTCCAAGTGTTAAAATTGCACCACAAATGCCTATAATGAAGTTAATGATATTAATGCCTCGCAAATGTCTGCCAGGCATTTAAGGAGCATCACCATAGACTTGAATGGGAGTCCTCCTGACTCAACATAAGGCGTCAATTTTGCCGCAACGCTAACGCTTCAGTGTGAACAGCACTGTGTACTGCCATGTGTATAATTTTCATAGAAGTTTGAGGAGCATTAAAAACGCCCCTCAAACGACTGCAAAATGCCTGCTTACAATGCTAGTGTGAACCTAGCCTTAGGTTCTGAAACGGCTGTATTTATAAGGGCAAGGTTACCTTCTTCAGGGTTCTTTGACCACTCAGGATAAAGACACTGGCAAAAGAGTCTGAAACAAATTAATAGCACTTCCACCTGCTCTCCACAATGTGCTAAATAGCATGCACCAGTGCTCTGGCTGGCAGCCTCTGAAAACCCAACACAGACTCAATCTTGTAGAAATGCCATCATTTTGGTATAGTCCACAAACACCTATCTTTTATTCATCGGGAACAACCAAAAAAAAAATCTACATGTAATAGCCAACACATTTCAGCCGTTAGGCCCTCGTCATGTGGACTAGGCGATTACATGTTGATGTTTATGGTTGTTTCTGATAAATAAAAGATAGTTGTTTGTGGTCTATACCGAAGTACCTGCTTATCTATGAGATTGAAAGGTTGAAAGTGAACAAACACTGCCCAACACATAAAATTCTAAATACTGACAACAACATACAATGCCAACCTTAACTCTGCCCCAGCTACATCATTAACCTCATCTCGAAATATCACCCAAACCATTCTTCTCACTGTTTCCAAGAACTACTGCTCTCTAGATCCTTCATCGCCTTTTCCCATAGTCACCAAACAGGACTTCACTTCACCTTTAGAGGCCTCTCCCATCCTCTGGAACTCTGTACCTCAATCTGTCTGTCTATCTATGCCTCTGTTACACATTAGGCGATCCCTTGAAAACTCACCTCTTTAACCATTAGCCGCCCGGCCTATAGCCGTTTTGGCGGCCGCAAAAATGGTTTAGCTTTCCGGGGTGTACGTCATTTGGCGTCCTCCCGCACATGCGCAGTTCGCGCAGTTGCAGAGCCGCGCAGCGGCGTGATCTGTCACCGGCCGTGTACTTCGGACACGGAAGGTGACAGATCTGAGTACCGGCCCCCGTTGCCGGTACCATGTGACCTGCTATGACCAATCACAGCAGGTCACATGACAGTTGTATACAATGGATGGCTTCATTCATGCCATCCATTGTATACTAGTGCCTAGCTGTGAATGGTCACAGCAGGTCACATGCACATGTCATGTGATTAGCTGTGGCCAAATCACAGCTAAGCACAAAAAAAAAAAAAAAACCTGAATGAATCGATGTCATTCAGGTAAATGCTTGCTTATAGCAAAGTAATTCTTTGCTATAAGCAAATTGTGTAAAAAAAAAAAAAAATTCTGTTCACTTCCCCAAAGTAGTACAATGTTACTATGGTAACATTGTACTACTTTGCTCATAGTAAAATATGAAAAAAAAATCTTAAAAAAAATAAAAATAAATGTAATAAAAAATTAAAAATAATAAAAAAATAAAAAATATATATCTTTTTCTTTTTCATACTGTCACCAGTCAGTGTACCTGTTCACCGCCATGCCAGTTATATGATGACGCTGTACTGCACTGGTGACAGTATGTAAAAAAAAAAAATAGTGAAAATAATTTTTTAAATTTTTTAATTTTCCGAAAAATTATGACAAAAAAAATACAACTTCAAAAAACTCACCATTCCTCTTATGAAATACGTCGGACTGTCTATTCTGCAAAAAGGGGTCATTTGGGGGATATCTGTACTATTCTGACATTCTTGTACCTCAAGAAATTAGATTGACTGTCAGTACTTCAGGATTGATCAATTTTCAGATCTATACCATAGTTTGTGAACTCTATAACTTTCCTACAAACTAAATAATAAATCCTAATTTGGGTTATTTTCACCAAAGACATGTAGCAGAATACATCTTGGCCTAAATTTATGAAGAACAATTATTTATTTGTAAACTTTTATAACAGAAACAAAGAAAAGCGTGTTTTTTTATCAAAATTTTTGGTCTTTTTTTGTTACCGTATTTTTCGCACCATAAGACGCACTTTTTTCCCCCAAAAAAAGGGGGGGAAATGTCAGTGCGTCTTATGGAGCGAATATGGAGCGGCCGGTCCGGTATTTCCACCGCCGCCGTGTCAGAATACCGGGCCGGCCGCTCAGCTCTACAGCGGGACCTTATAGAGATGACTGCTGACCTTTGGGGAGGGGGGGGGAGCGGGTACCTGAATTTGACAGATACCCGCTCCCACTTCCGTGGAGTTGTTCTTTCATCTTACCCGTTCCTCTATCCAGCGGCGCGGTCTTCCCGGCTTCTGTAGTGTGGGCATGACAGCCGGGTGCCAAGTGCGCATGCGCAAGAAGCGGTGCTTTTTGTGAATGGTAAGGCGGCACCTGGGACACATGACAGATCACAGAAGCCGCCGGACCAATCACAAAGCGCAAGTGCTTCTCGCTCATGCGCACTGGGCACCCAGCTGTCATGCCGAGCGCCATTACAGAAGCCGGGAAGACAGCGCGCGGCTGGATAGAGGAACAGGTAAGATGAAAGAACAACTCAGCGGAAGTGGGAGCGGGTATCTGTCAAATTCAGGTACCCGCTCCCCCCCCTCCCCAAAGGTCAGCAGTCATCCCCTGTACTATCCACAGTCTCTGGTCATCCCTGTGCTGTCCACAGTCTCTGGTCATCCCTGTGCTGTCCGCAGTCTCTGGTCATCCCTGTGCTGTCCGCAGTCTCTGGTCATCCCTGTACTGTCCGCAGTCTCTGGTCATCCCTGTGCTGTCCGCAGTCTCTGGTCATCCCTGTGCTGTCCGCAGTCTCTGGTCATCCCTGTACTGTGTCCGCAGTCTTGGTCATCCCTGTGCTGTCCGCAGTCTCTGGTCATCCCTGTACTGTGTCCGCAGTCTCTGGTCATCCCTGTACTGTGTCCGCAGTCTCTGGTCATCCCTGTACTGTGTCCGCAGTCTCTGGTCATCCCTGTACTGTGTCCGCAGTCTCTGGTCATCTCCTGTACTGTGTCCGCAGTCTCTGGTCATCCCTGTACTGTGTCCGCAGTCTCTGGTCATCTCCTGTACTGTGTCCGCAGTCTCTGGTCATCTCCTGTACTATGTGTCTCTGGTCATCCCTGTACTGTGTCCGCAGTCTCTGGTCATCTCCTGTACTGTGTCTGCAGTCTCTGGTCATCTCCTGTACTGTGTTCGCAGTCTCTGGTCATCTCCTGTACTATGTCTGCAGTCTCTGGTCATCCCCTGAACTGTGTCCGCAGTCTCTGGTCATCTCCTGTACTGTGTCCGCAGTCTCTGGTCATCTCCTGTACTGTGTCCGCAGTCTCTGGTCATCTCCTGTACTGTGTCCGCAGTCTCTGGTCATCTCCTGTACTGTGTCCGCAGTCTCTGGTCACTGTCCGCAGTCACTGGTCATCCCTGTGCTGTCCGCAGTCACTGGTCATCCCTGTACTGTCCACAGTCACTGGTCATCCCTGTACTGTCCGCAGTCTCTGGTCATCTCCTGTACTGTGTCCGCAGTCTCTGGTCATCTCCTGTACTGTGTCCGCAGTCTCTGGTCATCTCCTGTACTGTGTCCGCAGTCTCTGTCATCTCCTGTACTGTGTCTGCAGTCCATTGGTTCAGAATTTTTTTTCCTGTTTTCTGCCTCTAAAACCTAGGTGCGTCTTATGGTCAGGTGCGTCTTATGGAACGAAAAATACGGTAATTTAGCAAAAAATAAAAAACCCAGTGGTGATTAAATACCACCAAAAGAAAGCTCTAGTTGTGTGAAGAAAATGATAAAATTTTAGTTTGGGTACAATGTTGTATGACCGCGCAATTGTCATTCAAAGTGTGAGAGCGCTGAAACGTGAAAAATGGCCTGGGCAGGAAGGTGTAAAATTGCTCAGTATTGAAATGGTTAAGGAAGCCAATCCTGCTGCTACCTAACAAATGAATGTATGCCTTCACAGTTATCACCTTTTTGTATCACTTGTTCCTCCTTTTAGATTGTAAGTTCTCACAAACTCTCTTGTCTTGAAATTATGTTAACTATACGGTCTCTCTTTATATCGTAACACTCTGTGCAAACTGTTGGTGCTATAAAAATCCTGCAACACTAATAAAATAATAAAAATGGAACTGCATACAACCATGACAAGTAGTAACCTCATACAGTTGCCATTTTTCTTGCTGTGGTCCTTTAAACTGGTATATTTAAACTTGTGACTTGTTCTTTTATATTGAAGAAGCCGAAACTAACCTTTTCTTTCATATTGGTGAAGGTATTAGAGTATCATGTGGAATGTTTAAAAACAGCAGTTACAGGGCCCCTTCTATCAAAGCCTTTTTTATTATTTCGTTTTTTTGTCAAGTTAAACTTCCTTTCTTCAACTGCTTCTTTCTAATACAGATTTGTTTGTGTTCCAGTTTTTCAATGACAGTTTATTAAGCTACATTTAAACATGGACACCTAGTTGTGTAAAGCTACTTTCACACTGATCCGCCTCAAAAACGCATAGGTGTTTTTACTGCACTTTTGCTGTGCTTTCTGGGCATTTTTTAAAGGACAAGTGACTTAATAAATGCACCAAAAATGCTTCTCAGAGGCATTTTTAAGGTGCTTTTCAGGTATTTTCCATTGATTTCAATCAGAAGAGGTGTTTTCGGGTCTTTTTTTAACTCCTTAAACATGCTGCAAGCAGGAGTCTTTACACTGAACCGCAAGCGCAATGCCTCAGTGTGAAAACATACATACAGTTGTGGCCAAAATTATTCAACCCCCACTGAAATTGAGTGTTTTGGCCAGTTTGACATTGCTTTTGATCATTCAGTCATCTTGCTTACATTTACATTAAAGAGGCACTTGTAGGTCAGACAAATATAACATAACAGTTATAATGAAATAACCACAAATGTCTTTTCTGTGCTCACAGCATTATCAGTTTTATTCAACCCCCAAGTGACATTCAATCTTAGTACTTAGTACAGCATCCTTTTACAGTTATAACAGCTTTTAAACGTGAAGCATAGCTTGACACAAGTGTCTTGCAGCGATCTACGGGTATCTTCGCCCATTCTTCATGGGCAAAGGCCTCCAGTTCAGTCACATTCTTAGGCTTGCGCACTGCAACTGCTTTCTTTAAGTCCCACCAGAGGTTCTCAATCGGATTTAAGTCTGGTGACTGCGATGGCCACTCCAAAATGTTCCAGCCTTTCCTCTGCAACCATGCTCTAGTGGACTTGGAGGTATGCTTGGGATCATTGTCCTGTTGAAAGGTCCAACGTCTCCCAAGCCTCAGGTGTGTGACGGACTGCATCACGTTTCCATCCAATATCTCCTGGTACTGAAGAGAATTCATGGTACCTTGCACACGCTGAAGCTTCCCTGTACCTGCAGAAGCAAAACAGCCCCAAAGCATGATTGACCCTCCACCATGCTTCACAGTAGGCAAGGTGTTCTTTTCATCATAGGCCTTGTTCTTCCTCCTCCAAACATAGCGTTGATCCATGGGCCCAAACAGTTTCTAATTTTGTTTCATCAGTCCACAGAACACTATCCCACAACTTTTGTGGTTTGTCCACATGGCTTTTGGCATACTGCAGTCGACTCTTCTTATTCTTTGGAGACAGCAAGGGGGTACGCCTGGGAGTTCTGGCACGGAGGCCTTCATTACGCAGTGTGCGTCTTATTGTCTGGGCTGAAACTTCTGTACCCACATCTGACAAATCTTTTCTCAGTTCCTCAGCAGTCACACGGGGACTTCTCTCCACTCTACGCTTCAGGTAGCGCACAGCAGTCGAAGTCAGCATCTTCTTTCTGCCACGACCAGGTAGCGTTTCAACAGTGCCCTTTGCCTTGAATTTGCGAATGATGCTTCCTAAGGTGTCTCTTGGTATGTTTTTAACATCTTTGCAATCTTCTTATAGCCATTGCCCTTCCTGTGAAGAGAAATCACCTCTTCTCTTGTCTTCCTGGACCATTCTCTTGCCTTCACCATGTTTGTAACCACACCAGTAAATGTCTAGAAGGAGCTGAGTATCACAGTCATTTTAAAGCTGCCTAATTGGTGCTTATTATGCTTGATTGCTGCTCGGTGACATCCACAGGTGTTTTCAATACCTGATGGAAAGCACCTGTATGAACCTCTGTTCTTCAGAGTGGTAGTCTTTAAGGGGTTGAATAATTGTGGCAATGAAGAAACCACATAAGAACCATTTACTACTGTATTACATAAACAATTGATGTCATTTTAGTTGCATTTGGGTAGTTACAACGTCCTTGTAGGATTTGATTCTGAATACAATTCCAAATGTACACTATAGTCCCTAAACCCCTTTACAGCATTGGGGGTTGAATAATTTTGGCCACAACTGTAGATATACATTCACATACATAGGGAAGCATTTTTCTTGAGCTTTTCAGTCACTTTTTTAATGCAAAAACTCTTGAAAAGCTCCTCAGTGTGAAAGTAGCCTTATGCTTACCATAGCCTGGTCAATACAATGCTTAGTTATAATTTGACAAGGCTGTACCCCTTAGCCAACAGCTTTAAAGGGTCAGGATTTTTCTTATTCAAAATTATGTATCTAATTTAACCATTCACAAAAACAACAGTTGTAAGAGGTTTACTCAAATGATCTTATCACAGTGGCAATGAAAACTCAGCAATCAGTGTTCAGCAATCAGTGATCATGTAATCGCAGAGTTCTCACACTTAGAGCCGGTGGGGTACAGGTTGCAGTATCGGACTGATAAGGTCCGTATAATTTGGCAAAAAAAAAAGCTTCTCTTTTGTAATAAAGGATTATACCTATTTCAACACGTGACAATATCCAGGATTTGTCAAACCTGGAGCAGCCAGATTTTGGAGAAACTGTGTATGGCGACCAATTAGCTTTTATATCCGGCCATAAAAAAAATTTAAAAATAAAAAAAGTACTGTTAACCGCAAAACAACAATAACTCATACAATTCTGACATCAATTGTTACGATTTTCTGAAAAAAAAAAAAGCAGCAGGTTGGATCAGGCACTTTTGATTGTGGCAAGAAAATTGTGTGTTGCTGCAGAGACTAATGATGAGAACATTAAATAATTTGACAATGTTGACAATCAACACAAATTTCCTTCGATTTTCAACTTGTCTATGGCTGCTTATGTTTCTTTTTCAAATCTTAACTGAACAAGTTGAAGATAGAAACTAACTGGTTGCCATGCACAGCTGATTAAGGTTCTGGCTGCTCAGTTTTGATAAATAACCTCAAGGAATATACTATGTATACTGAAGGGATCTGCGTAGTTCTCAGTATTAAAGTGAGCCTGTCAATCATTTCAAACACCAGTAAGAGACAACATTTTTTGATGGTTGTGGAAGAGTTAGAAACTCTGTTAAATTTTTATTGCTTACTGTGTCTATACCTTGGAGATCTCTCCTTTCTGTTTGATTGGTGTCAGACAAAAAAAATCAAGATGTGAGGTGATAAGAAATCTCACCAACAGGACTGCAGACAAGTAACAAAAGCACATAATCCCTCTTTTTGACCTGATGTTAAAGAAAAAGGAAAGGAGGGAGATCTTCCCAATGGTGGGATCACAGGCAGAATTAAATACATGATTTATCCAAAAGTAAAAATCGACACAAGTGCTAAGGTTGACTTTCAACTTCAGTTCTTTATTTTCTCTTTCTTGATAATATGACAGTTTATTTCCTTTTGACTTTTGTACGTGTTATAAACATTATTGCCCTTTCACACGAAGGGTCCAATCAGGTCTACTGTCAGTTTTTCAGGTGGACCTGATTAGACCCTTCACTAACCCCTGACTGGCAGGTGTAAATGGACTTGTATCTGTTTATACTTGCCTACCTCCAATCTGATCTGGTCTACTAAAAAAAAAAAAATACACACACCACAAAAAACGGAAGGGTATTCATACTCCTCCATCCAGGTGGATCGGATCGGAGGGCAATTGGGTATAAATGGACAGTGGAGTCTGTTTATTCCCAGCCGCCCATAGAGCAAAGTAGGCTTGGTCCCTATCTGCTCTGCATAAACTGAGTGGACACAGACTTGTCATCTGCCCACTCTGCTCTGATCAGCAGGGGGTCAGTGGTCAGAACCCCTGCTGATCTAAACAGAGTCTGTCCTGTGAAAGCAGCCTTAGGCTGGTCATGCATTATACAGTTTTTTTGAGAATTTTGCTTTAGATTTACCAAAAACTATATAATAGGGGGTCAAACCTAAACAACACATTCAGTTGTATCC